TTTTTTTTTTTTTTTTTTGAGACGGAGTTTCACTCATGTTACCCAGGCTGGAGTGCAATGGCACGATCTCGGCTCACCACAACCTCCGCCTCCTGGGTTCAGGCAATCCTCCTGCATCAGCCTCCTGAGTAGCTGGGATTACAGGCACGCACCACCATGCCCAGCTAATGTTTTGTATTTTTAGTAGAGACGGGGTTTCACCATGTTGACCAGGATGGTCTCGATCTCTTGATCTCATGATCCACCCGCCTCGGTCTCCCAAAGTGCTGGGATTACAGGCTTGAGCCACCGCGCCCGGCCTAATATAGACATAATTAAAATTACTTATACAGGCTAGGCGCAATGGCTCACACCTGTAATCCCAGCACTTTGGAAGGCCAAAGCAGGTGGATCATTTGAGGTCAAGAGTTTGAGACTAACCTGGCCAATATGGTGAAACCCTTGTCTCTACTAAAAATACAAAAATTAGGGCCAGGCGCAGTGGCTCAAGCCTGTAATCCCAGCACTTTGGGAGGCCGAGGCGGGCGGATCACAAGGTCAAGAGATCAAGACCATCCTGGTCAACATGGTGAAACCCCGTTTCTACTAAAGCTACAAAAAATTCGCTGGGCATGGTGGCGCGTGCCTGTAATCCCAGCTACTCAGGAGGCTGAGGCAGGAGAATTGCCTGAACCCAGGAGGCGGAGGTTGCGGTGAGCCGAGATCGCGCCATTGCACTCCAGCCTGGGTCACAAGAGCGAAACTCCGTCTCAAAAAAAAAAAAAAAAATACAAAAATTAGCAGGGTAAGGTGGCATGCATCTGTAATTCCAGTTACTCAGGAGGCTGAGGTGGGAGGATCACTGGAACCTGTGAGGCAGAGGTTGCAGTAAGCCAAGATCGCACCACTGCACGCCTGCCTGAGTGACAGAGCAAGATTCCATCTTAAAATACATATATATGGCTGGGCACGGTGGCTCACGCCTGTAATCCCAGCACTTTGGGAGGCCGAGACAGGCAGATCACGAGGTCAAGAGATCGAAGCCATCCTGGCCAACACGGTGAAACCCATCTCTACTAAAAGTACAAAAAATTAGCCAGGCATGGTGGTGGGTGCCTGCAGTCCCAGCTACTCGGGAGGCTGAGGCAGAAGAATTGCTTGAAACTCGAAAACGGAAGTTGCAGTGGGCCAGGATCTTGCCACTGCACTCCAGCCTGGCGATACAGCGAGACTCTGTCTCAAAAAAAAAAAAAAAAAATACATATATATATATTTATCTATACAAATTAATAAATCTCTAAGAAAATCTTTTGATAGACCATACATCCTAATTTTTATTCTTAAGGAAAGTGTACAATGTCTGTAAAAAGGGAATTTTAAGGTATTTGCTATATTTTGAAGCACATGTGAGAAATAAAATTTGGAATCACTATAGAAAATCATGAAAATGTCATAAATTTCATTAGGAGTTAATACTTTACATACACGTAATTTGGCAGAAAAGCAGGCACAAGCACTTTTTTTTTTTTTTTAAATAAAGACGAGGCTTCACCATGTTGGTCAGGCTGGTCTTGAACTCCCGACCTCAGGTGATCTGCCCACCTTAGCCTCCAAAGTGCTTGGATTACAGGCGTAAGCCACCGCGCCCGGCCACAAGCACTTTTAAATATAACATTCTTATTTGCTGACAATCCACAGTCATAATTTTACACTTCCTGTGAAGAAGCTGACTTTATAAGAAAGCAGAATTTTTCCTTTTTGACATCCCCTGACATGATTTAAGTTACCATCTCATACAAAGTAAACATAATCCCAAAACCAGATTCATCAGGAAACTGAAATAGAAGTAATAAAATTACTTGGCACAAATTAATTTATTAAAATGTCCTTTTTCACCCTTTTACTGAGCAGCCCCCAAACCAGAATAGTTTCAGAGGGACCCTCAAAAAGAACATTTTTAGTTTAGAAAAAAAAAGCTGATAGAAATTGAAATACTTCTTTCCACACAGACACAAAAAAATGACATCCAATGTATTTGACAAAGGACTTGTATCTAGAACACAAGAAACCTTATCTGGGCGCAATGGCTCACACCTGTAATCCCAGCACTTTGGGAGGCCAAGGAGGGCAGATTGTGAGGTCAGGAGTTTGAGACCAGCCTGGCCAACATAGTGAAACCCTGTCTCTACTTAAAATACAAAAAATATTAGCCAGGCATGGTGGTGTACGCCCATAGTCCCAGCTACTCGGGAGCCTGAGGCAGGAGAATCGCTTGAACCTGGGAGGTGGAGGTTGTGGTGAGCCAAGATCGTACCACTGCACTCCAGCCTGGGAAACAGAGCAAGGCTCCACCTCATTTAAAAAAAGAAAGAAAGAAAAAGAAAAGAAACCTTACAACTCAATCAAATTTTCTCTAAATGGTTAAAACATTTCACCAAAGAAGATATATAGATGGCAGACAAGCACATGATAAGATATTTAAAATCTTTAATCATTAGGGAAATATAAATCAAAACCACCATAAGATACTATTTCAAGCTAGGCACAGTGGCTCACACCGTAATCCCAGCACTTTGGGAGGCTGAGGCACGAAAACACTTGAGCCCAGGAGTTTGAGACCAGCCTGGACAACAAAGCAACACCCTGACTCTATGAAGAAAAAAAAAAAAGTAGCCAGACATGGTGGCATGTGCCTGTGGTCCCAGCAGCTGCTCAAGAGGCTGAGTCAGGTAAATCACCTGAGCCCACAAATTCAAGGCTACAGTAAGCCGAGATTGTGCTATCGCACTCCAGCCTAGGTGACAGAGTAAGACTTAGTCTCAAAACAAAAAACAAAAACAAGATATCTACTTCACACTCACAAGAATGGCATTTTTTTTTTTTTTTTTTTTGAGACAGAATCTAGCTCTGTCACCCAGGCTGGAGTGCAGCAGCACAATCTCAGCTCACTGCAACCTCTGCCTCCCAGGTTAAAGCAATTTTCCTGTCTCAGCCTCCCGAGTAGCTGGGATTACAGGAGCCCACCACTATGCCCAGCTAATTTTTGTATTTTTAGTAGAGACTGGGAGGAAAAAAAGAAAAGAAAAAGAAAGTCTATCATTTACATACACGAATGCAGGGAAAAAAAAAAAAAAAAAAGAAAAGTAAAGGCGGAATTTCACCACGTTGGCCAGGCTGGTCTTGAACTCCTGACCTTGTGATCTGCCCACCTTGGCGTCCCAAAGTGCTGGGATTATAAGCATGAGCCACCTCACCTGGCTGAGAATGGCTTTTTTTTTGAGAAGGATCTTCACTCTTATTGCCCAGGCTGGAGTACAGTGGCACAATCTTGGTTCACTGCAACCTCTGCCTCCCGGGTTCAAGCGATTCTCCTGCCTCAGCCTCTCAAGTAGCTGGGATTACAGGCATGCACCTGCACGCCTGGATAATTTTTTGTATTTAATATAGAGATAAGGTTTCACCATGTTAATCAGGCTTGTCCTGAACTCCTGCCCTCAGGTGATCCACCTGCTCATCCTCCCAAAGTGCTGGAATTACAGGCATGACCCACCACTTACTTCCAGCCATGGCTATTTTTTAAAAACTCTAAAAAACAAAAAATGTACATCCTTGCAAACACTTCTTTTCTGTTTTTTCATTTTTTGTTTTTGGCTGGGCCAAAATTACGAGGTCAGGAGATCAAGACTATCCTGCGCCAACATGGTGAAACCCATCTCTATTAAAAATACAAAAAATTGGGCCGGGCGCGGTGGCTCAAGCCTGTAATCCCAGCACTTTGGGAGGCCGAGGCGGGTGGATCACGAGGTCAAGAGATCGAGACCATCCTGGTCAACATGGTGAAACCCCATCTCTACTAAAAATACAAAAAATTAGCTGGGCATGGTGGCGCGTGCCTGTAATCCCAGCGAGTCAGGAGGCTGGGGCAGGAGAATTGCCTGAACCCGGGAGGCGGAGGTTGCGGTGAGCCG